CCCCTCCCCTCTGTACACACACGCACACACACACACACACACACACACACACACACACACACACACACACACACACTGACACACACTCTGTTCCCAGGTGAGACCCACCCTCCTCCCGCTGTGCTTTCAAAACTCTAACAAGCCCTCTTTTACATTTACACGGGACAAACCGATATTTTACAGAAGCATTATTTTTATTCATTGGAAAAGGGAGTTTAACCCAGTTTTTGTGATTTAAAATATATATCTCTGACTGTTTTATTTGGATTGGACTTCTCTCCAACAGAAAACACTCTGCCCGATCTGCGATGTCATGCGGTAATACAGGAAGTGCTCCATACGTAACCCGCATCTGAGGCACTTTTGTTCTTGCGGGTCAATTCCGCATTACCGATCGATCTCCCGCACTTCCTTTAAGTTGCGGGGTCACCGTGTTACTTCCTCCTCCTCCTCCGCTGTGGCTGTTGCTGTGGCTCTGGCGCGGTCTGGGCGTCGGCAAACAATTTCAATAAACTTTTAAACTACGAATCCTACAACATCCACAATTAGAGCCTCCATACAGATTCATATAAACCGGGTCGTGTTTGGAGAGAAGATCACAACCCAAAATTCAAAGGTCAGGTTTTTTTTTTTTTCTATGGACTGATTGAACTCCAGCTTCGCAGAAATTCTCAACTCAACTAGAAACCGTTTGATGGCGAGCTTACCCAGACCCTGAACTTAGACTGACTTGGACTAAAATATCAACTGTTTTTTAAATTTTCTATTTTGTTGTTGTTGTGTTTTGTGAAAATTTGTTTTCAATATACTTCACCCAAACTTCAAATTCCTGTGTGTCTCTTCATTCACACTCAGGCTCCTAAAAGGACAATCTTCTGATGCAGCCTTTGTGGTCGTAGTCTGCCCCTAACCCTAACAAATTTGAGTTACACATACACCTTCACTAGAACCACCGGAGTCCTGTAATTCTTGAATCCTGGAATCTCAACTAAACAAAACATTAAGGGCCTCTCCAACAACGTTTTTTGGTCAAAACGGTGAAGTTTGTAGTCGTTATAGCCTTTCGTCCACACGGAGCCGGCGTTTTGGGTTTTTTGAGAATGGGTTCCGGAGTGGAGAAATCTGAGAACGCCGGCGCTGCGTTGTCATGTGGACGAGCAAACCGCAGCTTTTGGAAAACGATGACGTCGCGATCCCGTCGTCGCCAGGGTCCACCGATGGAGCAAAGGCTGCAGCCCTCGAACTGGCCTCCACGGACCTCGAGAGCGTGCAGACATGGGACAGGTGTAGCCCACGGAGCCGCTCCCGTCGCCCAGCAACTGAGACATACACAAACGCTAATACTAACAACACGCACCACAGAATACGCACACAGATCAATAACAAAGATTATGCACGAGTAATTAAACTGTTGGATTTTGAGACCAAGTTATTCTAATAATTCTCATCCAAATTTTATGGCTAAAAATTAAAACTTATGTTTAACTTTTGCAAAACAAAACGGTTATATTTGTGGGAAACCACAAATTACCTTAAAGTTTAAAAAAACGTGATGAGATTTCCATCCATTCCATCCATTTTCGTCCGCTTATCTGGGGCCGGGTCGCGGGGGCAGCAGCCTAAGCAGGGACTCCCAGACTTCCCTCACCCCAGACACGTCCTCCAGCTCCTCCAGGGGGATCCCGAGGTGTTCCCAGGCCAGCCCAGAGACATAGTCCCTCCAGTGTGTCCTGGGTCTGCCCCGGGGCCTCCTCCCGGTGGGACATGCCCAGAACACCTCCCGAGGGAGGCGCCCAGGAGGCATCCGGAACAGATGCCCGAGCCTCAACTGGCTCCTCTCGACGTGGAGGAGCAGCGGCTCTACTCCGAGCTCCTCCCGTGTGACTGAGCTCCTCACCCTATCTCTAAGGGAGCGCCCAGCCACCCTGCGGAGGAAACT